TTCCCATTGTAGCTGCCCTACATTAAGGCTTCTGAGACTATAAGTCTCCACGGGAGCAGACAGCCTCCTCTTTCTCCTCACCAGAGGCCAGTGGGTTTGAACCTTGGACCTTTTGGAGCCCAAATGCCTAGCCCACACGCACACACGCACTCCCTCACTACCATCCCGTTAATGCCCTGCCCGCTCCTAGCAACCCTACAGGACAGGGTAGAACTGCCCTTGTAGGTTCCCAAGACTGTAACTCTTTATGGGAGTAGAAATCCCTGTCTTTCTCCCTCAGAGCAGCTGGAGGTTTCGAACTGCTGACCTAGGGGTGAGCAGCCCAACTTGAAACCCACTGTGCTACCAGACTCCTGGCAACCCTCACAGAGCAGAGTGGAACTTTCCCCCAAGGGGTTCCAAGGTGGTCATCTTTGTGAACGCAGGTGGCTGCATCTTTCTCCTGATGAGTGGATAGTGGGACCCAGCCTTTGGTTAGCCAAGCACTTAGCCACTATGCCACCAGGAACCCTGTAGCGGAATGTCAAAAAAAAAGAAAAAGCCAAAATCAAGTCCACTTCAACTCATAGCAACTCTGTAAGGCAGAGAAGAAATGTCCCAGTGAGTTTCCGAGGGCGGTAAATCTTCACAGAGAAAACAGTCTCTTTCTCCCACGTGGGCGGCTGGAAGATTCAAGCTACAGGCCTTGCGGTTACCCCACTTGGCTATCAGAGTTCCTCAGAGGAATGTAAAAAACATTTTTTTTAAATCAATTTCGCTGCCACCAAGTCCATTTGACTCAATGATCCCACAGAATAAGGGAGTCCCGCCCCTGTGGGTTTCCAAGACAGGAACTCCTTACAGGAGTGGAAAACCTCATCTTTCTCCTACTGCACCTCGGCCGGTTTTGAACGGCTGACCTTTGGTCAGCCCAAGGAAGGCAGTGGCATGACCACTGTATCACCAGGGCTCCAAGAAGACGGTCACAGCAGAAAAGGGCACAGAGAGGGGGTCTCCCGGAGGCCAGGCATGGAGGTGGAGGGGCTGAATTGGTAGTGAGGTTGAAAGAAGCCTTGGAGGAACAAGAGATGTGGGGGACTTTCAGGGAGAGCTTGGGGTCTGGGAGAGGGGAGAGCTGATAGGGAGGGGATAGGAGAGCTAAAGGGGGGGGGTGCTGGGAAGAAGGAGGAGGAGTGGAGTGGAATCTGAAAGAGAGGGGAGAGAAGCTCCTTGGGGGGTTCAAAGTGGGAGTGAGGGGATGCCTTAGGTCACACCCCAGCTCCGGGAAGGCAAAGTCTGAGGTGGCACTCTTTGAGGAGGAGTCGGCACAGAGAGAAGACCCCCGGAAGGTCAGAAAGAGGAGATGTGGGTACCAAGAAGGGGGGATAGCTTCAGAGAGAGGAAGTCCTGTCAGGCCAGGATCAGGAAGAGTGGGGACACTCCACCCCATCATTTGGGGAGTGAGTTGGAGGGGGTAGTGGAAAGTAGTATATGACACTCACCATTGCTGGCCACCAGCTGGGCGAAGCCATCCTATGGACAACAGAGAGAGGGTGGAGGTGAGAGGTGAGAGCCACTAGATCTGCAAGGCCTTGAGCTCCCCCTCCCCTGATCGAAAGGAGAACACACACACACACACACACACTCACAGTCACACACAACCAATGGGATGGCGAGAGGGGACGTGGGGAAGGGTCCCAGAGGTCTTGGGAGAGGTCCCTGAATGGGCAAACAGTTTGCATTCTGCTAACCAAAAGTTTGGCAATTTGGGCCCTGGAAGGTAGGGCTGTGGCCACCGGTTTCCCCAAAAGTAGGTGGTGCAGAGTGCTGGGGTTTTATTTCTCCCAGGAGTCTTGGGGGGGAGGGGGGGCTGGGCTCTTCACCCGTGCCCCAGGAGTGAGCAGCGTGTCCCCAGCCCAGGCTTGGGTGGGCAGGGTTTAAGTTTCGATTTAGAGGCTTTGAGAAGGGGAAAAGCCCGCCAGGAGTCCAAAAACAAAGAGCCGTTCGCTGGGTGAGGAAAGGAAGTGGAGGTTCCTCCGTGGGAGAGAAAATGCCCACAGGGGGTCCCCTTGGGGTCAAGATACAGTAATGATCTCCCGGGGTGGCTTGGACGGTTGTCCCAGGTCCGGCTTAGAAAGGGGTGTCTCCTCAGGGCCAGCCACAGAGAGGGGATCTCCCCAGGGTCAGGCACAGAGAGGGGGTCTCCTCAGGGTCAGTTACAGAGAAGGGATCTTCCCAGGGCCAGGCACGGAGAGGGGGTCTTCCCAGGGCCAAGCACGGAGAGGGAGTCTCCCCGGGATTCCGCAAGAAGAGGGAGAGGATGTCTTCCCGGACCTGGCACAGAGGAAAGGGTCTCTCCCAGACCCCCTCCCGGCTCTAGCAGGGAGAGGGGTTTCCCCCAGTGCAGCGTGAAGAAGAATCCCAGAGCGACGGCGGGATCTCCGGGCCTCACCTTCGGGTGGTTGCTGCGGGGAGTCCCCAGAGAGGGCGCGGGGCCGGTGAGGGGCCTCGGGCTGGCGGCGGCGGGCGCAGCCCAGGAGCGCACAGCGCAGGCGGCCCAGGCGGCAGTCAGCAGCAGCAGCGCGAGGCCCAGCAGCCAGTCCAGCGGGCGGCAGGCACGGGCGCAGGGCGCGGGCGGCGGGGCTTCTGGGTCCGGGGCGGCGGCGGTGAGGTCGCGCATGGCAGGCGGCGGGCGACTGGAGCCGGGGGCCCGGCGCGGCCCGGTATTTATGGACACTGGAAGCCACCCCCTTCCTGCCACCGCGCTTGGCGGGGGCGGGGCGTTCCCTGATGGACCCGGGGGCGCGTGAGTCACGCTGCGCCCCGCTTGAAGCCTTCCCTGGGGGGCCGGCCAGTGGAGCGGCTCGCTGCGCTGCGACTCCGGGGCCACCCCTACCTTCGCCCCGCCCCGCCCCGACTCCTTTCGCCAGGGGTCTGTCTCCACGTGTCTGGACTCTCAATACCGACCCTTCACGCGGGCACCCTGAGCTCGCGGGGCGCACGGAACCGGCACCCACACCGGCTCGGCCCGCGCGCCGCCGCCTGCTCGGCACCGACGGCCTGGGCAGCCGGCAGCGGGCATCTCCCCCCACTCGCCCACATCCTATCTCCGGCTCTGGCTCTCGGTGTCTCTCCGCGTCCTTGTCTCTCTGTGTCTGTCTGTCTGTCAGTCTGTCTGTCTCTCTCTGTATCTCACTGTCTCTGTCCCTGTTTTTCTCTCCATCTCTGTCTGGCGCTC